GGGGGGGGGGGGGGGCGGGGGGGGGGGGGGGGGGGGGGGGGACCTGATCATGCTGCTCTAATCTTGCCTGCAGCGAGTGCCGGGGTTTTGCCTCAAACCGAAAAGAAGATGATAAAAAGAAAACAACTCTTTTTGCCTTTCGTTTTTTTTTTCAACTTTATTGTTGGTTTTCTGTCTCGTTTTTTCTTTTCCTTCGTGGTGCACCTGATGTTATGCATTCTAGACCTGCGGACTTCGCTGGGTTTATTGTTTCCTCTCTGCTCAGCTGAATATAAACGGGGAGAGAAACGATGGAGTTGTTTTTCCTCTCTCTCTCTCTCTCTATTTACTGAGGGATGATGTGTGTTGATGAGGAGAAAACAAGAGAGGAAACCAATGAAGGTTTCCTCCTCAATCAAAACTACAAATAATTCAATTTTTAGCATCTCAGTCTGTCCTAAAATTCTCAACAACAATTATCCTTTTATTCCTGGTGATTTGCACAAATCTGTTACTCCTGTGCTATTATTCAAATCCGTCTTGTGCATTGTATTATTATTCTTTGCATTCAACTTGATCATAAAATAAATTATTGAGAAACTTTGAACATATATTCAAGGAAACCCCTTGAATATGTGTTCTTGGCCTTAAATGCTAATTGCCTGCAGTTTTATTTTTATTATTTTGTGATTCATGATCACAATGTGTTTGTGTCATGTGCATCAGTGACAACATGAGCTCATCATTGTTCTTTTAACCCTTTGGCAGCGGTGCTGAAATTTATTTTCAGAAAGTTGTGCCACAAAGAATGATTAAAAAAAAACAAGCATGATTGGACAAGCCAAAGTCTGGAAATATTCCAACATACTTTTTTTTTTTGTACGAAAATGTTCTTTCAAAAAAATTACTTCACTGATGTGTGGCATTTTTCCACATTCTTTTCATATAGGATTAGCATTGGTTATACGCAGCCCAAAGTGCCCTTCAGTGCCCTTCGGTCAAACCAAAACGCACAAGCGTGCAAAAATTTCCCGTCACTGCCGCGGGATGGACTTTGACCCGCTGCCATTCAAGGGTTAAAACTTTGGCAGTTGTGCAGGGACATTTCAGCAGGAATTTCTCACTAGAAAATCTTAATTTAAAATAAATGTATTGCACTGGCAAATATAGTGCAAGTTGGGAAAATATCTGTATATTTTTTATCTGTTTAAAAAAAGCTTTGGGAGAGACATAAAAAGCTCTCTGGGTTTTGAAAAAACGTATTGCACACTTTTGTTCAACAGTCACCAATTTTTTTTTCTTCTGAAAATTGGTAAAAAAAAAATATGAAGGGTGAGGAACGCGACTCTTATTCTTATGTTTGTTGAAAAAAAGCGATCATGTGGATTCTAAATTTTTTTTTACATGTTATTATTTTGGCGGAAAACCGAGAAGAGATTTTTGATTGAATGATACGTTCTCAGCAGAACGAGGATAACTTCTCACTTTTTTGCTTCTTTCTGCCTCCGCAACAACTTTTGAACTCAATTTCTAAGACAGTCTAGGTTTCCATAATCAGCACAATCGAGCCTTTCAATGAATACTACCTCAATTCACCCACTTGCTGTGCAACAAGAAGTAAAATACTGTACTGTACTTTAAAAATGAATCACAAACGAATTCGCTTTTCGTTCGGGGTTTTCATGTATAGCAATAATGATCTGCTTTCGGCGGAAAGAAAGACGGGGTGGTGGGGGCATGTGTGTACTGTACTACAATGCCCAAAAAGTATAGATTCGAGTATTTTTATAGCTTTGCATCAGTCTTCGGGCTCGAATACGAGGCATCCGAAGCTAGTGGAGCATGGAGAATCTGTTTGCGCGTGTAATATATAAAGCTAGGGGGCAGAATATGAGGATATGTTATTGCGGACGAGCACGGAAGTGGATCCCTCGCAGCCGCAGTATTTCATTCCACAATAAGGAGAAGCCGACGAAACCCGATTCTAGCCTCAATAATAAGTGAAGATAGAAGGTTTCTCTCATCGTTTTTATACTACCCTTCATAGCTGTGCCTTGCCTTTTAGTGCGTCTTGTATTCTTGCTCAGATGGGGGAACAACAATAAATTACCTAGAAAATTTTGCATTGCAATTGAAGAGCAGTCAGCTGGATGGGATGGGCCGCGAAGTTTCTGGTGTAGAAGTCCCAATTTTAAAAAAATCATTTTACTCTGACCCAACGCACAAACGTCACTCAACTCAAAGTCTAACACGCACACGTGCTATATGAAAATCTAACTCTTTTGATTTCCAACCTTATTTGAGAGCCAGAAAGGGGAGAGCACAAACCTTGATTGGAGAATTATTACAGGCTATTTTAACTGTTGGAAATAATTTGAGAACTGGGTGAGGATCTGGGGCACATTTTTTAAAACTGAAATTCTGATTTATAGGAACTCAGCACTTCCACCTTTTTGCTGCAAGG